GAACTGCATTAGGAAGTTCTCATCCACCGCCATTCCCAATGCTTTCAATTTTGTCGCAATGTTTGTCATTTCAATAACATGCTCATGCATAGTACGCGAACCATCAAACTTCATGGTGGTCAGTGTACTCATAAGTGTCCCAGCAAGAGACTTATCAGCGGTTTGGGAGCGCTCTTCCACAAGTTTCATCATTTCGATGGCACTTTCAGTTTGTGGAAGAGCTGACTTAATGTTGCTTGCTATGCTCATTTTCATGTACACCGGACTTAATCTGTTGGATCTTTCCCAGTTATTAAAATGGTCCCTTTCATCCTCAGTGCTTTCAGGAGTAATAACACCAGGTTCCTCTTCTCTAAGAGCCATATCCATATCCATTACCCCAAGGTAAAATTGGATTTGCTCTTTCCATTCAGAGAAGTTCAGCCCATTAAAAACTGCAACAGTTGAGAACATGAAATGTGTAGCAACCGGTACTGCGAGGAATAACATTTAAAACATTAATGCTTTGAGTCATACATGTCACATACTAACATAATTCACAGATTGAAATATACTAACTTCAATGCATATCAATGTTCATCTTTGGGGATCCATTAACATACAACATTAACCATAATGATGCTATATAAATTTCACATAATTTGGCAATGATGCATACCCCTATCATAAATATTTGTCATCTTTGGATGTCCAAATGCAAAGAAATATGCCAACAATACCAGCATCCATGTTCATTTTATAAAACAAATAATCAATCTTTGGGTTGATACCTAACTGTCCTATAATAATGAATTTCAATATACCAAAACATGAATAATTATATCATACTATTCACAGCATCACAGTCATGGTAATTGAAATAAAATTCATAATATTTAGAATTAAAATAACTCTTCAAGATTTGGCCACTTTAATGACTAACAAATCTAACATAATTAATTCCAAAACTTTAATATTTCATAAACAATAATAGGATTAAATTTTCACATTTAATTTTAATGCAACTTTGTCAAAATAATATATCGATCGGAACGAACACAGTACGTAAATGTCCATTTGAATACTGAAACCGTGAATGTGGTTTGAAAAACCAAGAAGTAAATTCATGAAACCGCGAAGCAAATTCATCATGATGCTTTTTATCATTCAATAATCCATTCTTTCCAAAAGCAAATGCCCATTTTTTTCGGTTTTCGTGCATCACGTTTAATGCTTTGTCCATAAATAACTTTCCAACTCTCTTAAATCGTCAATTACTGGTATATCTCTTTTATTAATTAAACCAGCTGACACATAATATTACGTTATACCTCTTTTATTAATTAAACCAACTGACACATAATATTACATATGAGACTAATAACTTTCCAACTCCCTTAAACCGTCAATTACTGTTATACCTCTTTTATTAATTAAACCAACTGACATATAATATTACACATGAGACCAATAGTTTTACATGAGTGCATTGAGTTTCGCTAACGGAAGAAGGATGAGACTAATCCCCCTTCAAGAAGGGAGACATATCCTCTGGCTCCAATTTTTTTTCAAGAATTTGCTTGGGATAAGGTTTGGACCTCTGACCCAAGCAAACCCTTGAAAACTCAGTTACCAACTGAGGATTTATTTATTCTAACTTTATACTTATATGTTGGTACCTCCAACAAATGAAATGAAAGCATTAACACAATAAAAAGGTAATATAATCCAATGATCTTTAATTTTCTTGAAATTGAAAATATCTAATGAATTTTTTAAACCATTATACAAATTCTTAAACGACAATTATTTTGAATAATTGTGTCAAAATATGTATAGTAAAACATTCTTTAATTTTAGCTTTGTATGATAAAATTTATGAATTAATTTTGCATTATGTCTAAATTTGTATATTTTGTAAAAACATCAAGTCAACTTTGTTATTAGTCATTACATGATTGGATTTGGGTTGAGCCCATAAAATTGGCTCAATTAAAATATTAGGTGGTCAGGTTCGGGTCATATATAATAAACCTAGCCCAACCCATCCCATAACCACCCCAAAATGCCATGGTACCTGTAAAAGTTATTTCTCATTGAACATTGACTTTAGTTTTTAGAGGAGTAATATTTTTACTACCAAAATTTTCTACTACCAACTCACTACCTATCTAACCACCATTGGATCAACATTTTCTCTTTTTTTCAAAATTTTTTTAGCATTCTCTCTCTTTGATTCAATGGTGATTAGATAGGTAGTGAGTTAGTAGTAGAAAATTTTGGTAGTAAGAATATCCTCCCTCTAGTTTTTATACGTTAGAAGTTTTGCACTGTTATTTAATGATTTATAATAGAGTTTTATAAGAGTTATGTTGTAGGAAAAATAATTGTGTAATGTTATAGAGATTTGTTTTGCGTGTCTTAGTTTTTTTTTTTTACCTTCAAAAAGTGCGAACTCCACAAAATATAGTGTGTGTAGAAAAAAAATTTGTGTCATGTGACATGATAGATACCAACCTCTTTATAATATCATTCAATGATTTATAATATCATTCAATGATTTTGACAACATAAGATGTCAAACGTACTAAATGATGTATGCAAAACATTTATTACATTGGTAATGCTCAAAAACTGAATTGACCCAATTTGACTCAGCCAGATTACAGAAAATTGGATCAGTTTTTTTATTCCAAGAGGTTCACCCTATGTTTAGATGGAGAGAAAGGAAATAGGGAGGAAAGAAAAATTTATCTTATTTGGTTGAAGTGAAAATGAAGAGAAGAAAAAATAAAGACACAAAATTCTCTCATTCTCTTATTTTCTTTCCCTCATCCAAATTCCAAACTAATGCTGTGTAAGCTGTAAAATCTCTGGACCATAGGCATAATATCTGATTGGCATGCTTAATAATATATATATATATATATGGGAGAAAATTTTCCACCTACTAGTGACTCATAGCATAAGTGGATCTCACCTTAAATTTTTTTCTCTTTCTATTATTTTGTAGATCCCACTTATATTATGAGTCACTGATAGGAGAGAAAAAAATTTCGAATTTTTTTCCCCATATATATATATATATATTACTGATTGGTAATAAGAAAAACAGTAGAGAGCACAGAGAAGCATGTCACCTATGTTGTACCGACACCAACACAAGACACGGGATACGACACGACACTCCGACACGTCAATTTCAAAAAATGTTAAATTTCGACACGTTACGACATGTTTTGATATTATATAATATTTTTAATTTATGTAGTGTATATTATATTTAATATTCAATAATTTAACAAAAAAATAAAGCTAAACTCATAATACTCATCAATTTTGCAAAGAAACATAAGATATCTTAAATATTTATATTAAACTCAATAAAATAATAATCGTAATTCAACGAATCTAATAGTTGGAACTCAAAATACAACGCAACGTAATCTTTGAACCTTTTTTGAATCTTTACAACGAGTATTGGAGTGTCAAAAAATGTCAGAGTGTCGAAAAAGATCTCAAACACAATACGTTCGTCAAAAATAAATTTTAAATATGTCACAACAGAAAAGTGGATGGCAGCCAGCCTCCATAAGAAATTTAAGTTTGAGTGGAGGCTACACGGTTCCATTACCCCCCACTTGCTCTTAGCTTTTTGTTGGCTGGATGCTATGAAAAAGGGAAATAACTCATCACCTAAGGCGGCGGCAAAAATAGTCATAGCCAGCCTTGCCTAACCATTCGCATTTTGTTCATGCCGTCCCACTTGATGACGTGGAACCTGGTTTTCAAGAGATTGTACATAATGGTCAACTCCAGTATCTGAAAATTCTTTTTTTCTGTATCGTTATAAGTGCTGTTTCAAAGTGCATCCATGTTTGATTTTCTGGTCTGAAGAAGATACACCATCTCTTAGAAAATTCACTTATTTGAGAGTTACAATTGATCCGTTAAACACCTGAACGGACCGGAGTATTGTTTATGACATTAATTGAGCTATCTTTTGATGGTATCATGTTACGTATTCGGAATGTTATTATGCAGTGTTTTTGCTGCGGTTTAGTACTTACACATAAGCATTCTCCTGGTAGTTGAGAAGTTTCTATTTGAAGAAATAGGTTGATCAGAGAGCTCATCATGGCGCCTTTAATCTAATGGGTCAGAGATTTTCAATAAACAATTTCTCAAGCTCATCCCCTTTGAACTTGAATAACTAATTAAGCAGCTTTTTATATAGGGCAAAAATATAGAGTACATAACTCACAAGGCAGAAGAAAGAAGTTTGGTATAAGCCAAAGGAACCAAGCATAGAGCAGCAGAGCACAAAAACATGCACTTATAACTATCTAATTCATTTCCATTTTTTTCAAAATTATAATTTCTCATGATTTATGGGATGTAACAATTTGATAAATGCAAGAGATACAGCACAATGGTTCAATTTGAACCAATGTCAGATCATCAATCAGATTTGAGTTTTAGAAAAGAGTAAAGTTTGCTCTTTTGATTATCCTCGAGTGTATTATTTGTAATTTACATGTCTATAGTGTAGCATATCACAAGCACATTGATTTTAACAAAAAAGAAATACCTCTTATTTTCAAGTTCGAAAACAATGAACACCTGTTCAGCGCGTCTTGCATGGCCAAAATATCTTCGAACTATAATTCAATTAAAGCATTCAAATTTAACTTAAACAAACCTATAGCTCTGATCATCACAACTTTGACTGTTTGTCTGTTTCGGCTCTAGAATAAATACAGTGGCTGCATAACAAAAATGAATAAACTATGCTACATAGTAATATTATAAAGCATCTCTTCAATGTCAGACAACAAGATATTCAAACATTTGTAATAAACTATCAATGCACTAGTGTTATATAAGGAGCTTAAAGCAGCCTTCCATGAGTAAATCTTGGTAATTATGGTTTTGATGCTATTTCTTTAAAAAAAGAAAAATATACATATGAAAGCCTAGGTAATTCTTTACTAATTTTTTACTCGTGTTTTTTTTACTACATCAGCAAGAATTGCTTATATTTGCAGCATGCACTTATCTCTATCTGCCTTCATTGGTCATTAGCTGGGAAAACACTTGGCTAGTACTTATGTCTGAACAAGCATTATCATAATCTCTCTCTCTTCTTCTGTTGGTAGCAGGATTTCCAGGAATAATTGTAGTTGTCACATTTACTGATTCACTAGCACTGCCATGGGCATGTGGCTCCCTTGGTTGTCCACTTTCCTGGAGCTGAAGTGCATATTCCAAATTCCATAAGACATCACCCATAGTTGGCCTGTCAACACCATATTCAGCCAAACATTTCTCTGCTGTTTCACCAAATTTCTTCAATGAGCTTTGTTTGATCTGTCCAACAAGATGGGGGTCAACAATATGCTCCAGCATGCCTTGCTGCAGCCATTCAAGTGCCCATTCTGCTAAATTCACCTGTTCCCTGGCCAGTTGTGGATCAACAGCAGCTCTGCCACAAAGAACCTCAAAAAGCACAACCCCAAATGAATAAACATCTGATTTATCTGTAAGCTGCTGCCTCCGGAAATACTCAGGATCAAGATAACCAAAACTACCTTTCACACCAGTACTCACATGTGTTTCATTGATACATGGCCCAGATCTTGAAAGACCAAAATCAGCAACCTTAGCCACATAGTTTTCATCAAGCAATATATTGGTTGATTTAATGTCGCGGTGGATGATTCCTTGAGCAAAACCAGTATGAAGATAGTGGAGACCTCTAGCCGCACCAATGCATATTTCAAGACGCTGCTTCCAAGAGAGAGGTGGTAGTCCTGCTGAACCATATAAATGTTTTTTCAGTGGACCTTTTTCCACATACTCGTAGACAAGTATCATTTCTGAATTTTCTTCACAAAAACCAACTAGTGAAACAAGGTGGCGATGGCGAATTTTAGTTAAAACTGTTATTTCACTCTGGAATTCTGGAAGGCCTTGTCTGGACCCAGGCATGCCTCTCTTGACTGCAACCTTCACATTGTCTCTGAGTACTCCCTTGTAAACCATACCAAATCCACCAGACCCTATAATCAGACTCCTATCAAAGTTGTTCGTTGCTGATTGTATATCAGCAAAAGGGATCTTCATGCCAAAATATCCATGAGAACCAGGTTCAGATGATCTACTAAGGGAACTCCCTCCAAACAAACGTAAAGGTGTCCATCCAACACTTTCCACTGTCCTATGATTTGGTTTCTTCTTCCTGCATTTGGTAGCAATTAGAAAAGCACATATAACTAAAAATAAGACAACAATTCCTCCAACAATTGAACCAACCAACACCCTCAACTTTTTCTTTTTGTGCACAATACTAGAATCGACAACATTGACCATCTTCATTATCTCTGCACCATTCAATATGGCATTCATCCTTATAGAACTGCTTAGATCAGAAGGACAAACACTTAATTGAGTAACACCTGAACCATCTGAATTTGCAACAAAATCCACATAGACTGGTGATGCAAGCGTGTGGACAGTAAGGGTTGACAAATCAAGATCCTTATATGCAGTGTACCCATTGATATACACATCAAAGTATAGGAAGTTCAGAGCAGGACTAACAATATCACAGAAATGCAACCGAACCAAGTGTGGAACACCACCAGAAGGAGCCACAGGAAAATTCCAGGTTATGTTGAATCTTGAAGCCAAAGTTGAGTTTTCCCTATTCATCTGCTGAGCAGTCATGTAAACATTATCAGGCGCAATCTCTGGAGTTGCACCTCCCGTCTGATAATTTGGTGTATGAGTGCTTACAGCAGGCTTAGCTGCATCCTTAAAGACCAGATAATCCTCATCAGGAATCCAAGTCCTCCAAAGAGTGTCATTGAAAGGAGTTATTTTCATACCTCCAACATTAATCCTATGAATAGTTTCTAAAACCTGAGATGAAAGGTTTTTGTACTCCTCCACTCCAGAAGGACCAACCAACCTGACTCCATAATCTGTAACAAAATCTGCAGGAGCATCAAACACTTCCACAGCATTGACAAAGCCAAAACCTGAGTTACCAACAGGTCTAAACAAAATTTCAAGAAAATTTGATTCTATCTTCAAAATAAACTCTTTAAGCAGCACATCATTAGGTGGCTGGAAATCGCTCAGAACCGAAATCCCATTAACCAAGACACTAAATTTTGCAGATTTCAGATCAAAATTTTGAGCTTTAAAGGGGGAGAAATGAAAACGCACCAAGTGGGTACCGTTTTTATTCATGTTGAACCTGTATCCCGCAGGGATGTTGAAAACTCTGGCTGTGTGGTACAAAGTGGGCAAATTTGGAGGTGGGTTTTGATTTGTGAGAGAAATGGACTCATCTGAAGAGAGAAAAGTGGAATCACCCATGAAGACTCGGTTGAAGAGGGAAGCATTGGTGTGTGATCCACAGCTAAGAAGGTAGTTATCTGTGGGAGTGAAGGAAACTGAGAAGGGTATGAAAAGGAGAAGGATTAAAGGTATAAGCTTTTGGGTCTCCATGGAAGAAAGGTTTGGCCTTTTGGGTCTTTGAAGAGAATGAGTATCAATTAGGCTGTGGAAAACGCATGCCATGTAGTGTATGAGAGAATACAATACCAGAAGAGAAGAATGAATAAAACTGCAACAAAAAGACAACAGAGACAGTGACCTGAGTCCAAGCAAGATTTGAGAAGGAAGATATAAATATGGTACATGAATCTTGTCACCCAAAGTCAAAAGGGATTGCCCCTCCTTTTTATTTGCTTTTGATGGCAATTCTCTAAATTTGTTTTGAAACTCAACATATTTGGACGTTTCACAAGAATCTTACACATCTAAAATATAATGAGCTGAAAAAAAAAATTATTCATGGGATAACAAATGACAATTGGAACAAAAAAATTAAAATTAATTCTTTAAGCTCAACTTATGTGACATATGTTTAAAATTTTTACAAGAAAATATCATTTCTGTAAAGTTATATGGCAAAAAAAAAAAAAAGTTGTATGAGAAAAAATAAATGTAGCATTGTCTTAAAAACATTTTTCTATCAAACATTTGAAATTTGTGTATATCTCAATTTCTGAAAAGGAGTTAAGATATTTATTAATAAATATTTTAATTTTTTTGAAAATATCAAAATATTAAATATTTTTATTATTATTTATGGAGTTTACTAAAAAAAAAAACCTTTGATTTCGATCAATGAATGATGATCAAAGAAGAAAATAAGGACAGCTGGATCAAGTTAGGTTTCCTTTCCTCTTTAAAGCTCTTTCTCCGCGTATCCTCCTCCTTCTCATTATATTTGAAAATTTGATCAAAAAAATTCATAAAAATTGCACCCAAGTCTAGGCCAACATTTCTATTTTGTACGATTTGTGTTCACATCCCAATTATGATACACAGATGTGCATTTGACAAATTTCCTAAGCTGAGGTATGATCGTGTATACCTTTCAAACTCAAACCCCCAATTGGCAACCACATATAGTGTACATGTGTCTCTCAATCCTTATCTTATGACAATAGTTGGATACAATTTATCCTTATTGAGTTCCAGTTCAAAAAGGCATATATGCATCTAGTAGTGCTTGCCAGCTTCATAAGCCAATGCCTTATTAATTTAATCTTCGGATATTTGTTGCACTGCTCTCTAATTTGCTGCTCAGCACTTGCTGGAATTCATAATCTTGTTGCCACATGTCACAGGTCAATAACACTGTAGTTGATTTTTATTCAAATCTATTTTAATTCGATTCGAATATGGGTGAACTCATACCGGAACAGCGCTCCTAATATATCAAAATCTCTAATTAAAGAGGGGAAAAAACTCCTTATAACTTTTTGAGAATTATTTTCCATATATGTATTAGTCTTTTTCGTTAGCAAATGAGGTCATGTCATGGCATTTGCGAAGTATCATAATGCCTCCCATATGATCTCCATCTGCTTCAGAAGTACCCCTCTCTCGTCCGTAATGCAATGCCAGCCGAAATTGGTGGGATCAAATGGTGAAGATCATTTTCGATATGTCAGCAACAGCAAGAAGGTTAATAAATATGGTTGCTTGAGGCCATAGCTCATCATTATAGAAGATGACATCATTATTATTATTAACAATTATTTAAATAATTAATAAAAAAACAAGAGTTAAGAGAGAGAGAGAGAGAGTGCAGTCACATGCAATGAATGTTAAGAGAGAGGGAGTAAAAGTTAAAAAAATATCAACCCTTTCATATTTGGAATATGAACCTATTGTTTGTATGCTTGACCTTAATTACATTGTTGCCCGCCCACTTTGTAACGGTCACGAACTAACTGTTTATTCAGGTTACTCTTTCCCATGTGAATAAAACTGACAAAAAAAAATTTAAAATATTATTATTTTAATAAATAATTATGAATATATAAATATTTCAAAATTATTTACGGATTTATTATATTCATTCAAAGCATTCACACTCAAGTTAAGCGTGACTCGTCTGATGTTTACATGTGATACTAAAAAATCAACTTACGAATCGTAAAACTTTGAAAAACCATAACTTTTGACTCAGGTATCCAAATCAGATATTTTTTTAATTACACATAACTTTTCAAGATCTACGCAATGATACCTCATTTAACATATTTTATCTCTAATAAAAATAATTCAAATTTGCAATAATGGTATTATAAGAGTATTTAAATCCAGAAACCTCTAAGTTCTGGATTTGTGATTTAATATAAAAAACAAATAAATATTTGGTTTATTAATAAAATTAAAAAAATAAAAATAAAATTTTTAATATAAAATAAATAAAGATTTGGGTTGTGATTTAAATTAAAAAAATCTAAAAAATTATTATTAAGAAAAACAAAATAAAGATTTGATTTGTGATTTAACTCAAAAATCAATTTAAAAATCTGTATTAATAAAAAAATAATTAAATAAATATTCGAAATCCCTAACGAAGAAGGATTTTTTTTGGGGAAAAATGTTTCTGCAGTTAATGCAGATACTGAGATAAGTTATCAGCTTTTATTCCCAAAACGATGTCGTTTTGGTATTGAAATCTTAGAAAATTATAAATATAAAGACTATTATAACCCTGAAATTAATTAAAATTACAAAAATACCATGATTTTCGCCCTATAACAACGTCGTATTGGGTTTACTGCAGATAACTTATCTGCAGTAACTGCAGAAAAAACAAACTCTTTTTTTTTTTTGAAAACTATTCAGAGGCTATAAGCTTTCAACAAATCCATCCAGTGTATCGTATCAAAGACGTTTCCAAACTTCAGAGTTCAGGCTTCGATCTTAGGTTTAGTTTTCTTTTCTTATACCCATTAGTCCCTTTTTTATTTTTCTTTTGAATGTATTTATTTTTTCTTTCTCTTGGGCATACATAATTCAAATGGCTTTAAAGAAAAAAAGTCATAAAACAAAAGGATGTAACTTACGACATAGTTCGATAAAAGTCATAAAAAAGTTATATATTTTTAAATTATTTTTTATTATATTTATGTATTTTACGATTCAATATGATTCACGATACACTATACGAAAAATCAGCCAAACGATATATGATACATATTGCGATTCAATAACCTTGTACACCATTTTTTTTTCAAACACTCGGTAGAAAGTATATATTTTAATATGACATTAAGTATCCTTATTTATAGATGGACTAATCCACTTTGGTGCTATCTTTAATTTCAGACCGCGACTTAAAAGATAAAGTCTATATTCACAGTGATAAGAATACAGCCCATATGATAGGGATAAAGAGATTCTAGTAAGTAGAAGACTGTGTTTGGTGTTGATTACGAAAGAACTCGTAGGCTTCTGGGTTTAAACGCTTGTATAGTACCACTGTTACAAATTAAAACTGTGTTTGTAAGAGATAAAGTATGTCAAATGAGATATCATTACGTAGATCTCGAAAAGTTATGTGGAATAAATATCTCGGAAAGTTATGTACCAAAAAAAAAAAAAAGGACTAAAGCCCTAAACAAAACAAGCAAAAAACTAAGCTACTACCAACATTGTTGTCAAAAATTAGTATAAAAATATAAAAACTTACGTTTTACGTTTTTACTAGAGTGGTGCGTGTTAAAATGCAAGTAAAAACATTCCTTGGTAATAACTGGTAAAAATGCCGCGTAGAAACATAAAAATGGTAAAAACTTACGTTTTACCGTTTTTACTTAAAATGATTTTTTTTTTAAAAAAAATTACAAAAAAAGAAATTAAAAAAAAATCCAATTTTTCGTTTTTCTCAAATCATATGCACAATATCTTGATATCTTTTTGTTTGGATATATGTCTTTTATAATTATGTGTTATAAAGCTGCAATTTTATTATAAGTTATGCTATGAGAATCGTTTTGTGTTTTTGGATCACTGTGTTCATTGAAAGAAGTGAAATTATATCCTGATGAGCGATGATCCAAAATCTGCAGAGTGTATGAAGCAGTTAAAGCAGATTTGTTATCCATTACTTGTTAGTTATCACTGTTTATAATTTTGATACTTGGTTATCAAAAATAATTTTCCTTTTTAAATAGATCAGTAGCTCAACACACATGTTCATTATGTGATATTTTTTTACATGCATATATATAATTTTGTATCTTGACCTTAAGTAGTAGAAAGTAGAAACTTTATGTTTCATGTCGTTTCTACGTTTTATGTTTCTACCACCCCTTTCCGTTTATACGTAGAAATTCGAGTTTGACAATATTGACTACCAAAGCGCGATCTTTCCCAATAGAAGAGAGATTAGCTAAATACAACAAATAAATACCAGGAAGAGGATTCCCACATAAAACTTTATTGACTCCCTCTTCAGCGTCCACGATATAATTAATCATCCAGTCGGCACACATGTTGCCTTTTCTATAAGTATAACTAAATTTAATCCTCCAATCTTTTTGTAACCATGTCCGTTTCCAAGTGATCAGATAACTCTCACGGACTGCTACATCATCCTTGGTGAGCACAAAAATAGCACTCTTGGAATCACTTTCAGTCTCAATATGATGGAAACCTTCACTCGAGGCAAGAACCAATCCAAGAAGGATTCCTACAATTCTCTTATCTCTCACATTTCCTAATCATACTCACTCTTCCACTTATATTAATTAGTATTATAAGTAATAAGAGTATTTAATAATAGATTTATAAATACAACAATTTTTATTGTTTTGTAAATTAATACTAAATTAATAAAATCAAATAATGACTAACACAAAAATAAATCTAGCTTATTTTGGAATTTTCGTAAATAAAAATTGCTAAATTTAATGTTAGTAATGAATTTTTGATTTTTTTATTTGCCCAAAAAATTTAAATATTTGATAAAATTTTAGGACTTCACCAAAAATTTTCCGTAGCTTTTGAAGTAAACTTCTCCTTATTTCTCACAATTAGGATCGATTGATAATAAAACAATTGGAGGGTATATTAATTTATCGCAAAAATAAAAATTGAGATCGAATCATAGCATAAGAATTATAATATTTCATGAATAATTAAATCTATGGATAATATATGGTATCACTTACCAAAATCAAATGA